CCCCAGGATTTGAACCCGGGACTTTCTTGCTGAAAGGCAACATTGCTACCAACCACACCAACGTGCAGAATTTATGTTATTTGCTGACGATTTAAAATTTTGTTCTATTTGAATCGTTCGTTCAGAGATTCTGACCAAACCGTAAGTGTGATCTTCTGCCAGCAGTAATATCTAATGCAGAGATTACTAAAAAATGATTTGAAATCACTGGTTTTTCATCTGAATGTGTGGATTGACTGGTAACATACGACATGAACTGCAAAAGTGCAAAACAGTAAAAGGTTTCGTTTACGTTTTGCAGGCCATCAGAATTTTCTGGACCTGATAGAAACCACAAGTTCACCGGTATAGGGTTAGGGTTAGGGTTAGTGTCAGGTCTGCCTCAGAAGAGTCGGAGTCAATGTCCAAACCAGACCCCTCATTTCCTGCCTTAACAGTTTCCTTTGTTTTAAAATGATCACAGTTGATTTCTTTGGTTCTTCTTGAGCTGAATAAATTGCTCTGTTTCTTTTAATAAAACTCATCTGGGAGTTTAATCAGTTACATTTTGACACAGTTTGACTCGGAGTACCTTTAACACCACACTCCCGTCTCATGGAGGCTCCATGGGGAGCTCGGTATCCGGGTCACCTGCCCGGTCAGTCACCCAATCTGCTGGATCTCAGAGAACCTGCTGCACCACCACCGTGCCGCACCGGACCTCTCTCATTTGGACCCCGCAGGGGGTCTTTGTACTCAGCAGGCACGGGACCGGGGGAGAGCACAGGACGGGCCTGTCTCCATCTGGACCGGGGGCGTCTTTATCAGAACCACCTGCCTCCGTGTCTCAGACATCTTTTTTTCCCCTCCCCTGAGGAAGAGGAGAAATTACCTTGAGGTGTTTTTCTGCTGACCCTCACGCCACGGCTGAGCGCCGGCTGCCAGAGCAAGAACTCATCGGAGGGGTTTCCACTCCTGTGTTTGGATCCACTGATGTTCACACCTTACAGGCTCTTCAGGCAATCTATTTGGAATCAGCATTAGTTTTTTAAGGTTCTGTAAAGCTGGAAATGAAGAACTAAAAGTTCAATAGTCAGGGAAATAAATGAAAGAATGTCACTTCTGCCTCACCGTGTAAGAACAGTTTACCTCAGTGAAAACCAATGAAAAGCCCGTTTAGCTCCTACTGATTCATTTTCAGAGAACATTTTGAATTAAAAGTGTGGAGTTTGACTTCATTGAACGCAGCATAGTAAAAATAAATTTACAGCAAAACAAGCATTCATATATTCATGCCATTATAAACAAGCATCAGTCATTTTTAACGTTAAAATTATTTACACATCAATAAACCATAATGCAGTAACAACTTCATTAAACAGCAGTAACACTGATAATAGCACTAGTGAAGTTAATTATTTCTCATATTGGTATGCAGTGATGACCATCTTTTAATTATGTTTTAAACTGTTTTATGTTTGAACAGTGATTGATTTCCATGTATAAATATTGTGTCTGGAAACCTGCTAAGACTGTGAATACCATGAAGAATCACAACACTCCTACCTATGAGGCAGATGAATTAACCCAACAGAGAGAGCAGCGAGAACATGCAGAAAGAAAGAGCCCAGGCAGGGATTTGAACACATGACCTTCTTGTTGCAAGGCCAACAGCACCACCGTGCACTCCTCTATTTCTATTGCATATTAGTTAAACTCATACAATTAATCAGATTTAGAACAAACGTTTTAGTGGCAAACTCAGAGTCGTTATTTAGTCTTTTTGATCGCAGAGTGTTTGTATTCCGTTATCATTTGGAAAATTGATCAGATTCAGTCGGATCGGAAAGCGTCTGGTTGTATAAATTCCCACTTGGCTCAAGGCGGAAAAGGGAAGCGTGCCTGCTCCGAGTCGGGGAAGTGGAGGAGTTTAAGTATCTCGGGTTGAATGAGAGAAATATGGAGCGGTGGAAAGGCGGACTGGTGCTGCGTCCACAGTGATGCGGGCTCTGTGAATAACTTTCTCATAACTAGCATGCTGAATTGTGACTGGGTCACACGCTAACCGATGGTGTCCCTTTCATGTCTTGGCTGTGGCTTGGATTTGACCAAAGTCCTTTTGGCTTCTGTTTATCCATCTGCCTGTTTGAAAAATGAGACAGGTCCTCAATTGAATTAAGATTTGGGAAGTTTATTGGCTGCAGGTCCACACTTTTCACAGACCATGTGTGCCCCTCTTTATCACTTCCTGACTTGAGATGACTTCATGTTGGAGAATGCTCAGTTCACCACCACATCGTGCCTGTATTTTCGGTGAAAAGTTGCTGGGGGAAACATGTTTTGATCCCGCTCTTTATGTGTGGCGGTGTTCGGAAGCAGAACTGGAAGCAACGCCAGGGTTAGAAGCAACCTCACACATGGACTGCATTACAGCGCTTCACTGTAGGGACGGTCAGAGCAGAAACGCTGTAGAGATTAACTTTTCTGTCTGTCTGTCTAGCTAGACTGGAGAGGTAGCTATAGCTACTATCTATACCTATCTATGCTATTTATAGCACAGATTGATGCTACAGCTAGCTAGCTAAATCTTGCTAGCTAACTAAATCCTGCTAGATATCGAGCTAAAACAGCAACTCGCTTGCTGCTGTTTTTCTCTTTACTGTCTATTCATTTCCTTGACATCTGTATCATGACTCTAGCAATCCTACAATAGTTTCAAGATGTTTTTTTTAAGGAGGACAGAAGGTGGGCAGGTGCAAAATGGCAGGAAGTCTGAGATGGTCCTCTGCAAGTTGAACCCTGGTGCTTTAGAGTCCCAGTGCACATGCTGGCACACTGCAACACCTCTGCCTACTGTCTGCAGTAATTTACTGACCAAACCTAAAGCACAAGAGAGGATTAAACACAAGAGGGCAATAGTTTACCAAGAATTCCCAATCAAAGTGTGTGATATAAGCCTGCACTCTTTATAAAAACCAGATGCATGCAGCTCAGAAATTAAACCAGAAGTCTTTTTCTTTCTCTCCCTCTCTCTTTCTCTCTCTCTCTCTCTTTTTTTTTTACCAGGTCTTCTTCTCGGTCGTCCTGGGATTCGGCTCGGTTCACCGGAGAGCAACTTCTGGGCCTTTGAAAATGTGCGAGATGTGTTCAGGTCTCTTGACGGTGAACGGGGGATACCGTCCACCGTCTGAGCCCAAAACCGTCATCTCCGTCAGAGGATCTCATTAAAACGCCCGCGGCCTGGATCTTCAGTTATTTTGCTTTTATGGCAGTCCAGGCACACTGAACCATCAATCAGTCAACGGAGCTTTTTGCTTGTTTTGTTTCTAATTGAAGACGCCACCATAAAAGGCTCAGAGGCTCCCACTCATGCCTAACCATACTTTTCCTGTTAGATCCCTGATTGATAGCTGCGGTTTATAAAAAAAAAAAAAAAAAAAGAAAACTGGACCTGCTTTGGATTACATTTCTGATTCCAAAGACCCAGAAGTAAATTTGGGTTAAAGATGTGTGGGAGCAGCTGGATGATTCCTAACATTAGTGGAACGAGACATAACAGACAGATAATGTGAATAATTATCGAAAATAATGTCCAGATAGATGGAGCCAGGCCAAATTCTGAAATCATCCTTTGTTATATCGCGCTGCTCATTATTTGGAGTCATGCGTGGAAAACAGGTGTTTCTAATAGTTTGGTCGCTGTCTCCGCCGCCCCCCCTTCGTTCTCTGATGCTGGCTCAGATATGATATTTCATGGTTGAGGCCACGCTCATGATAGGAAGTGACGGGACAGAGCTGTTCGGGAGACATCCGTGTAATGGATGCTGATTGGCTGCGGCTAAAATCACGGGGCTTGTGCCTGCGCAACAAGAGGGGAACCACGGAGCGGGGCTCATCTTTTTTTTCCCCCTCTGTCTTTCATGGAGCTTTAAATGATTACAAGGGGATTTCTCTGTGTTTAAAAACAGGTGCCATATTTATATGCTTCAAGCAGAACAGCAGTGCAGCTGATTGCGTTCAGTCCGTCTCTTTTTTTTTATTATTATTATTATTTGCTTCATAAACAGAACCATCAGGGTTCGGGGGTTCCTTTCCTTCAGTTTGGTTTATGACAGCAATCCTGGCTGCTGACCATCGCAGATGGCTGCGTTTTATAGGCAGAGGATGTTTTCTTGTTTGATTGAGTCATTTCATAAGTTTTATGCAATGGCAGATCTTCATCAGAAATGGCAAGGCCCGCAGTCTGCTTCTCTTTGGGTCTTTGTTCGTCTTTGGTGGCTGCTGATTAGCTTACTTCATAAGACTCAATCGACCAAAACAAAGAGCAGAACCGATGTGAGTTAGCATAGAGAGCAAGAGTTGAGTTAGACACGAAAGTTTTTATGATCGTTTCTCCATCTAAGAAGATACATAATCTTTTTATTTTTCTGTCTGATTTCAAAGGGGCAGTTTTTATAAAAATGCTACATATATCAAATATAACTTAAAATAAATATTACTTCCTGACTTAGCGCCTTGAAATTGGGCTTCTGTCTCTTTAAGAAGCTCCTGCTCTTTCTGAAACTCCGCCTTCAGGAAGTCATCACAACGTGGCTCCTCTGTTAACCCTTTAACATAATTTTTACCAGCATTATACTTAGGAGTAGCTCCTATAATGAGCTCAGCAGATGCTCAGTTGCACCAGGTGTTTACTAACTGCTGCTGGCTAGTCTGAAGGAGCTCAATGGAGGAGTCACAGGTGAGAGCTGCTCTGTGAGGCCGAAGGTCAATAACTCAGAGGAGGAGCTGCGTCTCAAAGGCGGAGCTAGGTCCACCCAGGCGTTTTGCACAGCTGAGTGGTTGCCATGGAGATGAAAGGATTTCTCAAACATGCACGAAAGAATCAAATCAACACTCCGGATATGTTTTTGATGCATGGAATAACATTATAATATGATCAAAAGCTCAAAAAAGCCGACTTTACACAATACTGCCCCTTTAAATGAAAACATTCGGCGGACAAACAAGAAACGTATCCGATCTTCATACATGAAATAAACGTTTATTTGAGTTTTTTTCATGTGCTTGGCACTTGTATTTACAACTACGCCAAAAAAAAGAAAAGAAAAAAAAACAGATTAACTTTGCTAATTCCCGTTTGCACACATTTTAATAACAGATAGGTGACATTGCTATACTGGTCAACTCTTAAATACACATCTTAGTACACACCACAACATACTTTACTCTCTTATTATAGTATTGCTTATTATTCAACATTTCACACAACAACTTTTTAAGCTTATAATATTGATTGCATTTGCCATCTTTTTTCTTATATATATATATATATATATATATATATATATATATACATAAAATACCACGAAGAAGTGTTTGTCTCCTGGAAGAGCTCTTCTATTTTTACTTTTTTTGACACACTTAATGTGTCTTATTTTAACTCGGAGTTTTATATGAAACTTTAGTGAACCAAGATGAAAATAACTATCCAACCAACATGAGAAAATCATTGACCTCTAAAACTAACAGCTGGCTGAAGACAATAAAATAGTAAACAACCTGCACTTGTTAGCACTTTATCAAGTCAGAGGACTCCAAAGCGCTTTACGCTACAGTCATTCGCTCATTCATAGCTACAACGAAGCTAACCAACATCTGCTCTGGATGTGGACCGACAGAAGGGAGTCTGAAATTCAATCTGACCACCACCAGCAGTCAAAGTGGGTGAAGCGTTTTGTCTAAGGACACAACAGCAAAGTCTGAGACAGACTGGGTTGGGGTCTCAACCAGCAACCCATTGGCTACATGGGCAACCCCAACCTGCTGAGCCACTACTGCCCAAGATTATGGGACAATGAGTCTTTGATATCACTGTCGAAGAGTTCTGGTTGACTTCACAGACTGGTTTTATTCAGCCACCTTGAGGAGTTTTCAAACACGAGCAAAAGGTGAAACTGCAGCATGCTGGTTAGATTTAAGCACAGTCTTTATCCAAAACTATTTGGAGCTTTGGGATTTTGTCTTGCTGCATATTCCAAATGCCCTTCACCCTAAAGGTCACAAGCTGATCTATGGATACAAACTGGAATTGCGAAAATAAATTTGCTTAATGGAAACATGGGAATTTTGGAAAAAAAATAAAATAAATTCACAATTTTTGATAAATATTTTCTGTAGGACAAGGTTGTTTTTTGGCCATATCAAAATGAATGCATTTTAAAAAAGACTCCATTGGAAACACTTTGTATCATACCAGTTACACCAGTTTGCATACAGCAGCAACACACCTTACTTGACGGAACTGGCCACCTTGGACAATGTGCAGCCGGCTCCTGCAAAGCCAGGTGTGCATCACAAAGTTCTGGTTCTGGTGCATTGAGAAGCTCATCAAAAGTTTGTCATTTGAAAGAGTTGGATCCATAGCTGTTCTGGAAAACTGTAGACTGCAAATTTCCACAAAAGGGAAATGGTAACACCAGAATTGGGAAATTGCGTCTTTTCGTCATTACTAAAAAGGTTTTGCACTTATTCAAACTCTAGTTCGTTTGTCTAGAAAGTCCGGTTCATTTGGGGAGGTGTGAACGCGCAATCGAACTCTGAAACTAGTCAAAAAAGCAAACCCCTACAAACCGAGGTCTGTACGGTTGAAGTGGACGTGAACCGGAAATCGCTCCAAAAGCAGGAAACAAAATGTCCAGAATGCCCTGCGCTACAACAAAAAGTTGTAGCGCAGGGCATTATGGGTAACCAGAACAAACGCTTGTGTTTAGCTCTAGAGGGAGAAATGGCTTGTGGTCTTTCACCAAATATGTGAAAGAAATCCTACAACCACTAAAATGTGGCGCTACTTACATTTTTGAAGGACAAAGTTGTGCTCAGTGTCTTCTTTAGAAGTTTTGGTGTTGTTCCCTTCATTAGTTCTTTGTGCAGTGCCCCCACAGGCGAGGAGGGGAACAAGATTTTCAAAGTGTGAAAGCAAACTGCTGAGAATGTAACAAATCCAAATGAATCTACCGGACCGTCAGGTGTGGAAACACCCAAAGTCATTTTATGGTTCTAATTTTTGTATTTACTCAGGTTATCCTTGTCTGATATGATCTGAAACATTTAGGTGTGATAAAAATAGAAAAAATCTGCAAGGAGGCAAATCCTTTTCCACTATATGCATATATATAACTATATATAATCACATAAATCCCGGAAACATTGTGAGGAGTTCCAGTTTTTGCGGAAAACAGGTGGGTGAAGCTGTCTGGTTGGAGTCCTGTTCTCACATTTTACTGTACAGCGAAAAGAACCGGCTCTGTTTTCCTCCGTCAGCGGCCTCCACCGCGCCCAGGTCCTCCACCTCCAGCAGTGAACCGCTCACTGGTGCTGTCCAGTTGTCCCTTTCATTCTGTCCAAAGCCTTCAAACTCCACACAGAGCTGTTGACTCTTTGACGTCCCTCAACCGAAACGGCACAAGCGCTGGTTGAAGTAAAAACAAATAAAAATAAAAAAAAAAACCTCTGGATGACACTGGAGCTGTTTCTATTATTATTGCACCGTAACACATAGACTTCCTTCTCTACTCCATTTCCACTTCTTCAAATTTGCCTTCGAACAGTAAGAACATTGAGCTGCTGTCAAGATCATTATAAAATAATTAAATAGAAGTTTATACCTGCTTTTGTTTTTATTGCGTTTGGAGTGGTAGGCGTGTTTCTGAAAGGTGAACTCTGTTGGTTTAAACCAACACTCACCAACTGCAGTTTTTTTTCCTCCTTCCCTTTTTTCACCTGAAATCGTTTCAGCGACGTGGAGAAGGTCGAGGTCGCGGTTTTCACACCATGTGCATGGACATCTGAGAGGACGAGCCGTACTGACGTCCGTCGCAGGAGCTGCCGCCCTGCTGGCCGCCCGCCGCGTTGCCGATCATGTGCATCGTGTCCATGCCGCCGTTGGGCAGGTACTGGCGCTCAGCGAAGGCGCCGGCGGGCGCCGAGGAGCAGAGCAGCCCCCCCTGGGGCTTTTCTGGGCTGGCGGCCAGGCGAGGCGAGGCGGGGAAGTTGTATCCGTACAGGTTGTAGGGGTTGTGGAGGGAGAAGGCGTTGTAAGATCCCTGCTGCACATGGTGGTGGCCGCCGCCGAACATGTGGGCGGAGGACGGAGATGACCCCGACGAAGAAGACGAGGCGGAGCCGGAGCTTCCACCGGCCTGCATCATGTACTGAAGCTGGGAGGCCGGGAACGAGCCCAGCTGACCGCCATAGGCGTCCATCTTGCCGCCGGCAGCACTGCCGCCGCCTCCACCGCTTCCGCCGCCAGCCAGGGAGCCGTGGGCGCTGCCTTGCATGCCCGCGGCGATCAGGGAGGAAGTCCTCTGCGGCAGGAAGGATTCGGACGGCTGGGCGGACGGCACGGCTCCCCCTGCCGCCTGGAGGCGGCCATATGAGCCGTCGGCCAGGCCGCCATAGCCCTGCAGGGCCGCCATGTTGCTGCGGGCGCAGGCGGGGTACTCCGACAGGCCCAGGTTGCAGAGCTGGCTCTCTCTGCAGCCGACGTTAAACGTATTCGGGGCCAGGTGGAAGGCAGGAGGGGAGCAGGACGGGGACAGGAGGTGGGCCGCACCGGATGGAGAAGGCGTTCCCGTGCTGGAGGTGGTGGGAGACGTCCCGGTGCTGCCGCCTGGAAAACAAAGCGCAGACAGAGCCGGTGAAACGCAGATTCAGGGTTTCCCCCAGTGTAATAAGCCTGGCGGGCCACCAGGCTTTTTCTTGTGCTAAGTATTGTTTATTAATTTTAGTTTCTTTTTAAGTATTGCCCTTTTCAAGACTTTATAGTTGGTGTTTAGGTATTAATGTTCCAGTCTTCCAATAACACATAACTATCAAGAGATAATTTTAAATTTCCAGTCAATTTTAAACATTTTTTAACTCAAAAACATGGTGGCGGGCTGGATGAATGACTGCCCTAGCAACCCGAGCACCGGGCTTAGAAAGTTTTCTGGGGGAAACCCTGCAGATTTATTCCACGGTATTCAACTGGGATTTGAGGAGAAGTTAGCATGAAAGTCCAGTTAGAAGATCAATGTTAGTAAAAATGGTTCGTAGACCATGAACTAATAATGGCCAAGAAAAAAACAAAACAAAACAAAAACAAAAAACACACCATCTTAAAATCCAAGGTGAAGAAAAATCATTAACTGGTTCTGGTTCTGCTCTGCAGCCACCAGAACCAGAACCAAACACGGAGGAGCAACATTCAGCTTCTATGCACCACAAATCTGGAGCAAACTTCCAGGAAACTGCAAAACAGCCAAAACACTAAAATCAGCAGCTTCCTAATCTAAAATAATCCCGATCAGAACCGGACACACAAAAACATAGAAATAAAACATCCCGATCAGGACATCCCTGGTTCACAGTGGTTGTGAGCAGGGAGTATGTCCAGGTTGGACACCTGCACTGAATCAGACTGATAATGTATGCTGAACAAAACTCTGGCTCTTAAATACACACACCACTCTTCTTTTCTTTAACTCTCTCCCTCTCAGAATAGCTGCAACTTTTACTCTCTCAAGCTGTCCTTGACACCACATCAGGCGCGGGACCATAAAACATTTGGCTGGTCAGCATGGCCGCTCCGCACACACACACACACACACGTAAGATGCACATAAAGCGCAACGTTGTTGAAGCAGACGATAACCACAAGTCAGGCCTCTCGGAGTGAAACAATAGTTGTGGGATATCAATCACATACTTTTCGATTAATGAGGCTCTGGCAGGAGTTCCCGCCGCCGCTGCTGTCGGAGAAATTCAGCTGGAAACTAGAACGAAGAGGAGAGGAGAGGCTAAATGGTCCAGGACTTGCTTGGCCCGGGATTCTTGTGATTTTGCACCATATGCCTTCGATAATACAGCCAGCACCGCTCGGCCAAGAGAGAACGATAGCGTGGTGATGTCATGTTTTCCTCCGGTCAGCGGGATTCAAGGTGCTTCAAGGAGGACGTGAAAGCAGTGCGTGCGCGCTTTCACCCTTTATGCCAAAGATGAAAAGAAAAGAAAAAACGGGGTCCGTGCAGGGTGACAAAGACGGTGTAAAAACTTTAATTAAATCTTAATTACGGCAGAGGAATTTTAGGATGACAAACACATGTTAGCATCACGTCATATTGACCTCCAGTGGTAATTTACACAAAAAGGAGGAAAAAAAAAAAAAAAAAAGTCAGCAGGGAAAAAAAGCTACTCCACAGCGGCGAGGTCTTTGAAATGAGCCATTACTAAGCCTCGCTTTGGGCGACACCGCAGGGGGAGAGAGAGCGCAGTACTGACGGGGACTCGGAGCGGTCCAAAGCCTGCAGGGTAATGGTTTCGTACCGGAGGCCTGCGCGCGGTGTGAAAAGTTCAGCAGACGCAGGCGGACCCGCCAGAAAAGCGGCGCATGGCCAAGCTCAAGTGAAGGACAGGCATGGCTGATGCAGTGAGCGATGATAGACGAGAGAAGGGGGCGGAAAAAGTTCACGTCGGGATAGCGACGCACCTGGTGCGTGCACACGCTGCGCTGTAACCCCGAACGGGTCGCAAAAATCAAGCGGTTGTGAAGAAACAGATGAAATAGATGAAATACACACGAGGTAAAGTAAAGATGACTTATTTCATGTTACAATCGTAAACTTCAGTGTATTGTGTTGAAATGTTTGGATAGGCCAACAAAGTGCCCTATTTTTTGAAATAGAAAAAAATAATGTTTTTCAACTTTTTTATTTTATTTTATTTTTTTTACTAATAAAAGCCCAACAAGGTCTAGTCAGGCCCGTCACCATAAGAAAATTTGCTGGACGATAAATCGTCCCGGAAGTTATCGCGATAAACGATAATATTCTTGTATCGAGACCATCTTCAGGTAATATAATGGCAACGGCATAATAATGCAAGGACAAATTCTCAAAGTTAAATAAGATTTAAATTCTAATGAACATTTAAACACTGGAACTGGAAGACATTTTAAATACCCAGAATTAATAAACAAAACAACAGAAAAGGCAAATAAAACGAATCATGATGTAAACAAAACTGTCCTTTAAAAAAAGACTTTTGTCATCCAGTTTTTGGTAGAAAGAGCAAAACGATAAATCGTGCAAATGAAAATGATTGAGCTTGCTTTAATTTATCAGGCGATTAATTGATTTATTGTTTATTGTGACAGGAATAAGTGGAAGGGAATCAAAAACTAGCGATGTGACTAATGAGGTGATTTCTCACCTGCGTGGAGCAGCAGTTCTGTTAAGTTCGTCAAAATCTTACCAAGTACTTTTTACTCTAGCTTCTATTGTAAATATCTTAGTTCACTTAAAATAGACAAAATTTACTTATAAGCAACTTTTCAGCAAGAAATAGGAGCTTGTTTTGAGCAAATAATGGGAAAAATGTCCTGATTATTTCCACTTATATCCAGTCATTTTTCATAAATACAAATAAATGATTGACTTAAAGCAAGCTGCTTGTTTTGTGCTGAAATTTTATTGTTGTCTTATTTTTAAGTGTCTTAAGACATTGTGTTTTTGCAGTGTACTGAACTGAGTCCAAATGCTGCAAACAATTTTTAATTTCAGCAGTTCGCTTTTTTCAGCAAGAAATTTTAAAAACTATGCAACACTTTCGACAAACCCAACTATTACGCTGCGGTTTTCAATGTGGCAAAATGTTAATTTTTGCAAAGCACACCAGTAAAATCCCAGGATGGCAAGTTTTAAGAAAGCAAAATTCTGTTTTACGGTTTGTTTGCTTCAGGTGCAAAATCGTCAAATTTCTCCAGCTCGTTCTCTGCGTCAAATATTTTGTTTGTTGGCCTGCTTGAGGGAAACACAAATATAATGACTCACAGTGAAGTGAGTCACCTCATGGATTTCTGACCTTCACAATAAATTAAATTTACTCTGTAAGAGCTGCCAGCGCTCTCCCGTCTGGTTTTTTGGAGCAGATGAAATCCCACCAAGAGGTTCGCCAACAAAATTAAAAGCGGACTGACTGAATTTAGCTGACAGATTATTTTCCAAAGGATTTTCTCTCGGAAAGTGAACATAGATTAGCGAACCTTGCTGCTTCTGCATGTTGGTGAAGTCCTCAAACGTGAGGGTCCTCACAGGAGGTCTCCAGAAAGCGTACGTCTCCATGATGGCCTCCAGGCCGGTTCTGAAACACAGAGAGAGAGAGAGAGAGAGAGACGCTTCAGGTCAGACGTCTGAAACTACAGCGAGTCCCAGCGCGTCGTCCAGTGACGACGCGCTGGGACTCGGTTCAACGTTTCACTGCTTTGTGTTTACATCGGGTGAGTCTTTTACTTTGTTTCTACCTTTATGGTATATAGGTATATATAGTATAGTTGCCGTCTTCCTTCCTGGTGAGGCTTTTTGTGCCTGTGTTCTTTCAAGATAAAAGGTTTTTGATGAGATCTCATTGGTATTTCTCACTTTCAGCAAAGTAACTCAGGCGCTTTGACGTCCTGATGTTACAAAGGAGAAGTTTGGCATTTCTGGAGTAAGGTCCTGTGAGAAGGTTGCAGCCATATTCGATAAATGTGAAACACTGAGTTCCTTTAAATCAAGGCTAAAGTCCCACCTGTTCGCCTTTGGTTCATAATAACTGGAACACTGATCATAACATATTTGATTAGAATTATTCATGACGATTTTGATTATGGCGTTTGGACAGAATTTAATGTCTGCTGTTTCATATTTACACATGTTTTTTGTTAAGGTTGCATTTCTGTGTTAACAAATGTTATTCTTTTATTTGTTTGGTGTTATATTCTGATTTTAAATATTTTTTCATCATAATTAACAGGAAGGCTTTCAAGCATTTGTCTATGTGTAGTTAATTTATAAAATGTGCTTCACTTAGTGATAAAGTTCCTGAAATAAAGTGATTTTTCACTAGTATTCTAATTTAATGAATGGGTCTACAAGGTTCATCCAGCGGTCCGTCGTGTTTTTGAGTTAAAAAATGTTTAAAGTTGACAGGAAATTTGAAAATATCACTTGATAATCATGTGTTATTGAAAGATTGGGAGATTAACACCTGGACACCAACTATAAAGTCTTTAAAATGCAAACATTTTAAAAAGACTTAAATAAATAAGCAATGCTTAGCCTGGTGGGGGCACAAGGAAAGCCTGGAGGCCCGCCAGGCTTATAATACACTGAGAGAAACCCTGAGCCTGTATAACAGGCTGACCTGTATTAGAGTAGAAAAGTCATTTTCTAAATATTTAGATGAAATAACACCAGTTTCCCACATTAGTTTGTATAGAACCGTTATTTACTGAACTGGGTGTCGCTGCTATCAATAAGGAGCATATTATAGGCAGGTCTGCAGCAACAATGTTCCTATTTCTACACATATTTACACATATTACATCCAGTGCATTTAAACTGACTTCTGTTCAGTTTAAATTATTTTATTCATAACTAATAAAAACACTGCAGCAGGGAAAATGTCATCAAAACTACTGCATAGTTACTGAAAAATAGCGACTCTGGTCCAAAAGAATGTGCAACTAATTAAAAATGTTCAAAATGTGGATTTGTATTAATTTGAACTTTAAAAAAACAGACTTTTTACAAGAATAAAATGAGTAAAAACTTTGCTGTAACTGTACAAGCAATTGTAAGTAACTGAGGCTCTGTGAATGCAATAATTAACGTATGTCAGCAGGATGAGACTTGGCGAGTTTTTGCTTGTTTGATTAGAAAAAGTGAAATAATGGAAATAACTGTAGACTTTTCAGTAAATATCTTCCTAGCATCTCCCAGGCCTGTCGCAATAAATCAATCAATTAATTGTGAAATCAGTTACAATGAGCTGAATAATTTCTATTTTTGCATGATTTATCATTTTTCTATTTTCTCTCTTTTCTATCAAACCCTGGATGACAAAAGTGACTCTTTTATTTTATTTTTTTTACAGAGACTTCATAATTGATTTTATCTGTTGTTTCTGCTATTTTGTTTATTTCTTTTGGATATTTAAAATTTCTTACAGCTGCGACATCAAACGCTCCTTAGAATGTCGTCCAGCAAAATTTATTCGCTGGACAACAGAACTCATAAAAATGATTTACATTCACTAATCTGAAGAGATTGTATTGCAGATTTTAAGTTTGTTGTTTAAGTATTCGTGATACACACAGTGAGACGGTTAATAATGACTCTAAATCAAAAACGTATATCTTAAATGGTGTCAAAATTAATTTCAAGTCCAGGTTAGAAACAAACGCAGTGAGTCTGGAAAGCTTTTAACAGGTAATCAAAGCACGAAGAGTTAGAAGAAGACGGACAGCGATGGATTCTGCCTGAGCGCTTACGACAGGAGAGCCAGAGAAGTCGGAGGCAGCTGACCGAAAACCGTCAGACCAACTAGAGGCGGCGTCTGCTTGGAGGAAACCAGGGCCGTTAAAAAAGGAGGAAGTTTTCTTTCTTTTCTTTTTTTTTTTTTTTTCCTTTTACTGCGCACATAAATCCGAGGTGACGTTTCTCCTTGAATCTGCACATGCTTCTCTGTCCGGCTTGATTTACCTCCCGGCGCACACGGCTCCGGCCCGCTGCCGGGGGGGGCAGCCAGCGCCGGCCGCTGTTATTTTAGGCCTGCTAACTCCCAGAGCAAGGCGGCTCGTTAGTGCGCCTCGCTAATCTGACTGCGATCATTCATGCTGCGGTGGGACCAAAACACAATAAATGAGCTGTGTCCTCCTGGCAGGCCGTAAAGCCGCCTCACCAGGACACCAGCAGAAAGACACCTCCGCCAGTTACCGCCGGGCCCAGCTTGGATCTATATTGGGATGTAGTAGGTAATTCAGAATATATATTTTTTTAAATAAAAGGGCTGGTGTTTAATGTGATAATTGGCTGTGGAGGTTTGCCCTTTTCATTAATATGGATTTTCCACTGGATGCAGGAAATGATAAAGTTCCAGTGCAAAAGTAGCCGCGCTGTTCCTTTAGCTCCTACAGCGTAAACACGTGTGCAATAACTGCGTTTTCCCGACGACTGTTTATGCAATTCATATCCGATTCTAATATTAGCTCCTTAAAGTTTAAAAGTGGCTTAAATAACGAAGCACGCCACAGTGTTTTTTAATGTTTGACTTCTCTTTTTCCAAATAAAAAGTTGCTGCCTTCAGCTCTGATATTTTCTTCTCTGCGAGGTCAGTGGCAGCAAATCGTTGTATTTAAAAAAGAAAATATATATTAACTTCTTAAAAAAAACAAAAAAAACATTTTCCTTAGAAAGAACAGGCAGAACTGGGCTAAAGCCTGGCAAGATGTTTTACCGCTCTTTCTTTTTGGAACGAGCGGTAAAGTTCGTTTAAAATCGGCTGGTTTCCGGACATGGACTGGGCTTTTACGCGCGGCCTTCAAATATCGAGTACAGCTGAGGTCGGGGTTTTTGGAGGGCCATCCAGAAAGTCGACTATAAGTCTTCCAGAACCAGGTTTTTATGTGCGCTCTGGACCGTAGTCCTCCTTTTCTTGTTTCTTTTTCTCTTACAATAAAACATAACCGCTGATACAACACTACTTGGTGTTATATAAACTATAGGCTCTATAAAATAAAACCTAAATATTTGTTCAAATGTGACTCAATCTGGAATGAGCTAATTAAAAAAAAAAGCCAAATCCAAAATAAAGAGCAGAGCGGAGAGATTTTCCAGAATCCAAGAATTTTCAGTCAGAAAATGATAAATCCAATTATTTTCTGGTCAGCGAATGCACCTAACTAAAAGACTTAGCTTAGCTATCAGTGAAGTGTTTTAAAATGAAGTCTGAGGAGGCAAACTGAAGGAAAAAGCTTGAATTGTTTGTTGGCCATGTTGTGACGCGTCTGTACTTCATTCAGGCTGCTAGAGAGCAAAACTTAAAAATCATAACAGGAAGGCTGGAAGGAACACAGGACCTGAGAAGAAGCACAGCATGCTTACTCAACTGTTATGAACCATTAAATTAAATGTTAGCACCTTTTAGAAATCCCAATGTTACCGTAAAAATCTCTACATTCAGATGTAAGCAGAAGGTCGGCTGTTTAAGCAACGCTAGCTGTGCTAACTAAGCTAATTGCTAATGGAATATGCAAATGATGCATGAGAATGTCAACTTTAAATCATTTTGTATTTGTTTAAAAGTTATAAAAGTCATATTTTGGCGGTGATGTCACTTCTTCCGCCTTTATTTCCTGTAGAACTTGTGAGGTCAAAAGCCGATTGCCCTCATCCATCTGAACAACCAGTGAAATTTGTGCTTGTGAAATTTTGAGCTCATACATTCGCGGCTAGCTACGCGACGCAAGAAAGTCGAAAAAGGTTAAACTTTTGTTGCTGCTGTCGTCGTCGCGTCCCGTGTGTCGGGTTCATTGGTGGGAACCTTTCGTTGTCGTTTGTCCAGCCAGTTAATATCATTGTTTAACCAGCTGGCTGTTCGCAAAACGCCGTACCCACATCAACTGGAAGTTGAGTGGAAGAAAAAAATGCAGAAAAAACACAGAAAACATTACGCTTGAGGCTAATGATTACATTAAACCATCCTAAGGTGTTCACAACATGTCTTGATGCTCATTTCTTGCTGTGTTTTAATTTTTTTCTACCGGGATGGGGTAGAATCGGTATTAGCAGATCGACGGTTTCCAAATCACGGATACACACTCTGATTGGTGCGGCTCTTCAGAGGAAGGAATTTAAAGTTTTCTGAATTAGAAAAAAAGTTACTCATCAAACTTTCTCTGAGGTCTGAATGGATATTGTAAATATTAGCACTGCATATTTGTAATTTTCACTAACCAAAGTTAAAAAGAAAGAATGAAGCGTTCAGACGGTTTTCAACCCTCCCTCTGTGTTAGCGTGACGCTCAGGAGGACCACGACAAATGTCAGTGCGACCCCGCCTAACAGTAAAAAATAAACAAAAAAAACCCCGTTAGGTCTCTTGAGACCACCGGAGGGTCGAGGGAGGGTTAGCAGAGCGGTGAGGGATGCGAAGCGAACAGAAGGGCTGCAGAGCTGGAATCCGAAGCCGCATGTGAGGACAAATTCATTTTCCCTCGCATCTCTCCACGGACAAATATCTCACTTTCTGTTATCTTTTCATCTGTTGCTTCCCCTGCAATAAAACTCTGATGCCAGTTCGTAAATCAAACGGCCTATTGTTTGAAAAATGAAAAAAGATGTCTCAAATATCTGTGCGCTTAATAATGCGGACCAGATGAAGGAGGCTGCTTTCATGTGAGGCGGGTTTAACGTCCCTCTCATTCCCTTCCTCCTCCTTCACGCTGATACTCATCGGGATTCAAAGACCTGACGGACGACGCGGCGGCTCGAAAGAAAAGAGACTGGAAGGAGGGGAGGAAGAGGCAGAGGAGGGCAGCAGATATCTTCAGTGACGTCGTTTATTCTGCACGTAGTGAGAAAAACTTTTACTCTATGGATTTGGAGGAGAGCAGGCGAGGACGTCCTACAGAACATGTGGAGCTTCACAGTAACGCCCGACTCGCTAGGCGCTTCGTACGACGTCTGAGGAGTCCAGACTGTGTTAATAACCCTGCTGATGTGGTGATTTGCAGGTCAGAAAAAAAAACAAAAAAAAACAACATTTTAAAAAAGTCTAGACTAGTCGAGGTGAAAGGGAGGGAAGATTCTGTTACACAAAGCCATTGTTTCCAGAAGCATTTTTATAACCAAATCTTTTGCCCTGAAAGTGTTTGGATTTATTTATGGTTTCTATGAATAAAGGGTTTTTACAACTGGGCAGGAATTTACGGTTAAACGGCGAGGTAGACGGACCAGCAGACCCAGGTGGTCATGAGGGCTTGGAACGGGTGTGCCGGGTGCCAGAGCTGAACCACAAGCCATAACCTTAATGATCACCAACTAAAGAGGGAAAAAACTATATTTTTTCTCTGAGTAATACCATAGCGATGATAAACTTCGCTCCACCGCTTGGTGTGCGTTCCCTTTTCTAAATCCATTTTCATTTTTGGGAGTCAAACAAAAACAGAAAATTGTATTTAGACCTTAGAGTACAAAAAAAAAAAGATCAAATCAAAATGTGAGGAAGAGAAGAGAGGCAAGCAGCAAAAAATACGTTTAAAGCTAGTAGATCAACGTGAGGGAGCCTCACAGGAGTAAAAACACAGAGGGAGGTTAAAGTGTCGCGTCTCTGAGTTTTTGAATCAAAAATAATGTGTCATTATTTTTATCCTTAGAGATGACCTGCTGCTTCTGTGACTTCATTGTGACCTTATGTGCTACTTGTTGGAGCTCTTACCTTTTTATGTACTGCCAGCATCACTTTGTGCCTTCATGCAAATTCAATAAAAAACACATTTTATTGCATTTTTACTACAAGAACAGATTATTTCACACTCGTCGGACATCGCTAACCTGTCTTGGCAGATGGAAATAATATGTATTCTTGTGTTTATTGTTGTTGTTGTTTGAGACGTTTGCAGTCCTTTGAGTTCTCAAGATATAAAGCACATCATAAATGAAATCTCTGAGTAATACGTCTATTACTATTATTCTATTGAAAAATCTCACCTGTACATCCCAATAAAACAATGCTATGAACCCTTAAACTGTCGTCATGTTTGCACTGGCCTGTCATGTTCACAGAAGCCAATAAAAATCTATGAGACACTGAGAAAGTTGAGGCTGATAGAAGAGCGAGGCAGCCTGACTCTCATTAACATACTGTGCATTAAAATCACTGACAATTTTGTTTTTTCACTTAAAAACAAGGCAGCCAAACTGAATATTTGTGTTTTATCCAGGAAGATGATTGTGGATGCACCACTTAATGCCTCTGTTTTTTATATAAATATTAATAAATCTCCCCAATCTAATCCCTAGTATGAGGCAGTATTATGAAAAATCAACCTCTTTGAGCTTTACATCGTGTTATAATGTAATTCCCTCATGAGAAACATAGCTGAAGCCTTGCTTTGATTCTTTCATGCATGTCTGAAAGATCATTTAATCTCCATGGCAACCATTCAGCCAGGGTGGACCTAGCTCCGCCTTCGAGGACGAAGCTCCTCCTTGGAGCTGCAATTTCCAAGTTTCTGAGTTTCGAAACTGTATCTGTCCCCTGTGACTCCCCCACTCAGCTCCTTCAGACTAGCCAGCAGTAATTAGCAAACACCTGGTAGAACTGAGCATCTGCTGAGCTCATTATAGGAGCCACTTCTCAGTGAAACGCTGGTAAAAATGTTGCTAAAGAATTAATAGAGGAGCCATGTTGTGATGACTTCCTGAAGGCGGAGTTTCAGAAAGAGCAGGGGCTTCTTAAAGAGACAGAGGCCCAATTTAAGGTTATATTTGACACATATATGGCAATTTTATAACAACTGAATATAATATAGCTACTTTATTGTACTATAAAATGGCACTATATGCCTGGAAAACACGTTGATAAGCGCTCCAACAAGTAGCACATAAGGTCACAATGAGGTCACTGCACACACACTTCCATCTGCTTTGATTAAAAAAGCAATGTGATTAATATCAGTAAGTCGTCACGGTGTTGTGAAACTTCTTGCCATAAAAAAAGGGAAGGAAAAAAAAGCGCCTGAAAATATATTATCTAGTGACTCTGACTACATATGTTACTGACAACAACAAGTTGAAAAATGTTGGTAGCGATCACACAGTGTTCTTTGGAGAAAGCCAGTGATCCTTTTGTTCCCACTGTTGTTTCTTTTACTGTGGATCTCGGCTATTTAAAGGGCAGCGCAAGAACACAAGATGTGGTTAAGCGACAGAACTCCGTGGTGAGATTTAAGAAAACATCTTTTTGTCGGGAATAAAAGGCAGGTTTTCCTAACCGGACGCATTCCTCACAAGAGCACTCCTCTGGCCTAGAAGCGAAGATTATACATATTTTTTCGGAACATAACGTTAAAACCTTTGAAATAATGAATAGGTTTAGTTGATGGATGGAAACAGATGCAAGGAGTTAAACAAAGCACTCCCGACAGGATTTATTCTGTACCTGTTTCGGCCCGAGTCCCGGAATCCTTTGGCAAAGGGGTTGCGATCAATCTTTAGTCTGGTGATCTGTCAAAACGGCAGACAGGACAACGTATTCTGAAATTGATGAAGCTCAACATTAACTCACACAAAAGGATTTTTTTTCTAGTAAGATGCAACATCTTATTAGACGTATGACCAAAAATAAAAGAATCCATAAAGCTGAGGAGTAAATTCCCCCTTTGTGAACACATAACTTTTTTTTTTTTTTTTTTACAAATTCTTAAAATATGCTAAGTTAAAAATGAAATTTCCTAAGAGAGAGAGGGAGAAACAAAATGGGGCTGCTTACCTGCTGGTTCTGGTAGGCGGTGACGGTCGTGAAGACGGTTTCGGAGAAGCTGAACGTTTTAACTCCCTCCCCGCTCGGCACTGGTTTGTTCGCAGACAGCTCACTGCTGAAGTCCTTCCTGATGATGTGAACCCGAGGCTGATACTTGTGCATGGAGTGAAGGATGATCTGTAAGCAAACATGTAAATATAAAGAAATAAACTGAGGGGATTTACAGCTGGGAGTGTTTTCCATATTAGCAGGAAAGATGCAATGCAGCTTCCTAAAAACTTTGTTCCCTTTTGTCACATTTCAAATGCTTCAAATCAACAAAGAAACCTCAAAATCAGACAAAGTCGTCGCCTCAAGAATTGTGTTTAATCAAATTAATTGATTAATCAGTTCCAGAAGATTTGTTTGTTCAATACTTGAACAGAACCAATCCGACAACATGAAGTAGGCTGAAAATCGCCAACAGAAAAAAAGGTAAATAAATAATCAAGGCCACATCTAAAAAATATTAACAGATCAGAAACAGCGATTAGCCGAGTTTTCATATGATTGAGCAATTTGACATTTCAAACACAACTTCGTTCGATGCCACTTTACAGTAAGGCTCCGATTACAGCTGGTTAATAAATAGTTCATAGATATGTTATTAATTCATCTCAACACTTTATAAATCATGAATAACTCTTTATTATGCATTAATTAAGGGAGAGAAGGAGACAAAATCCACAGGGATTTTTTTTGCCAAATAGTGAGCCAAATCTGATTTTTAGCATATAGTCTCCTTCTCCTTCTTTATGCATGATAAGCAGTTATTTATGATTTATAAATACAGATGAATTAATAACATATCTATGAACTATTTATTAGCCATCTAAAAGAGGAGTTTTATTGTAAAGTGGAGCCATTTGCCCAATGGAAACTTGCCAATTTGGAAAAAACTCAAATATTTCAAAAAAAGTTTTGTTGTTTGGATGATGAGTTTTCTTTTTTTCTTTTTTTTACTGTAATTTGGTTTATTTTCCAAAACTGAGATGGAACCACTTTTTTTTCCATCACGTGAGTCACATGATCAACAACCGGATGTTACTACTGCCGCAAACCACGAAGAAGACGACAACAGGAAGTGGTAGGAGGATCACGGCGCAGCGTTTTTTAATGACTGATCGCGCGAAGAAACTTATTCACACATGATTTTAATTGCGCTTCTTATTTAACACAAAACACCACAATTGCAAAACTATGTTTTTTCAACATAAGTGGAATATTTGCGCACAATTTGTCATGGAAACGCGGCTAAGCGACGGCTACAAAGTTATTTCTAAGAACCAGAGTGCGAGCCGTCATCCCCAAACGGAGGAGAAAACCAACCAAAGTTACTTCTGGAACGCGTCGATGACTCATAAAAACCATCAACAACCTGCAGGTATATCTACGCTCTGCTAAGGTCAAAGTTCATGATTCAACAGTATGAAAGAGAATGGGCAAAAATGGCATCCATGGAGATCAAAACCACTGCAAAACAAAAAAAGAAGGGGGGGAAAAAAGCATCTTGATGATCCTCAAGACTCCTGGAAAAAATATTCTGTGGATTTATGAGACATCCTATTACATCTGGAGTACGGCAAGGCAAGGTTACTTATTTAACACCTTTTGGCCCAAGGCAAAATCAAAGTGCTTTTTCTTTGACGCTAATATGACAGATTTAAAAATGAAGTTTAGTGGGGGGGCGGAAAACTTGGTTTAGAGTAGGCAACAGCAAATAAAAAGGTTTTAACCTTGTTTTAGAAGAGCTCAGGGTGGGAGCATTCCTGCAGAGTACAGGGAGCTTATTCCAAAGTTTTGGTGCTTAAAAGCCTGAAGGCTGCTTCAGCATGCTTTGTTCTGACTCTTGGAGAGAATGCTAGGTTTGATTCAGATGATTTTAGCGCTCTTAATGGTTTATAGCGCCAAAGACGATTGGATCAGACACCTTGTCCAGGCTTTTGAAGGTAAGAGGCCCATTAGTGAGGTTCTGATTTACGGCTTACAGCGTGAGGACCTCAGAACCCGACCGGAGCGCTGATCGGCTTTTGTTTCTGTAAGGACTCTCGCAGCAGCATTTTAAAGCATCTTATTGTTTTTTTTTTTCTTGACAGTCCAGTGAAAACGCTGTTGCGATAATCGAGTCTGCAAAAAAGTGACCTTTCAGAACGCTGTTGGGTCGTCTGGACATGTGTTTGGGTCGCAATGTGCCGTCTTTACCCTAAACTAAGATCAGGTTCATGGTCAACACTAGGTTCCTGGGCTTTCTCTGAACGAAAACAACATTTTAGAAAATTAACATCTAAACATACTTCCAGTCAAACATGGTGATGAAGTGGCAAAGTTTGTGGCCTACTTTGATGGAGAAGGTCTTAAGATCGAGTCCAACGCTGTGACAAGATCTGAAACCTGCAGCTCAGGCTCGAGAATCCTCCAATAAGGTTAAATTAAAACAGTTTTACATAAAAAGAGTTTCCATTTGTTCATTATTGTCTTTTGGAGGATTTTAATTTTCATGTGAACAGGATAACTTAATGAAATTATCATTTGAAAACTGACTTTTTTTATTTGCTCTGGGCAGTTTCCTTTGATATTATAATTGGTTTTCACTGATCTAAAATATAAGGCTAATAGTTTGTCAATGTTTCTGAAATTTACACTGAAAAAAGAACAAAGTACTTTTTTTCTAGTTTCTAGTACAAACATCTTCTTGGTAAAACTAATATTTATTGTTTTAAGTGAATAATTCCTTAATACTGATGAAAAACCCACAACTTCCACAGGCAGTTTATTAAAATGCCAATTATCTATAAATTATCTATACTTTTTCATCAATATTAAGGAATTATTCACTTAAAACAAGCTCCTATGTCTCTCTGAAAAATTACTTGCAAAATACTTTTGTTTTATTCCAAGTGTATTGAGATTTTTCCCCAAAAAAACTAAAAAAAAAAAAAAAAGCATTTGGTGAAATTTGGTGTTTCTGTTACACGCATTCCTCCCAGAGTCGGCTGGCTGTACGTGACTAAAACCTTCACGCCGTCGTGAATCTCACTGGAGGATTATTTCACAGCAGAGCGGAGGCGTCAGACCGTGTCGGCCTCAGCCTCGCCTCGGGGCCCCCGGTCTGCTCCTGATTAATCCGAGGGTGAGAAAACCTCCCCAGAGCCAAACACCCCCAGTTCTTCCCTCATCCTGCCGCAACGAGAGGGGGTCATTTCAAAGCGGCGGGGCCGCAGGGGCGAGAGGAAACACCTCCGAATATGAAAAACACAACACCTCCAGACCCCCAATCACACACACACACACACACACACACAAGCACAAATTAAGACTGGTGCATGCTTTAATCTACCATCCTCGTTTTTTTTTGTTTTTTTTTTTGCAGTCCTTCCCGCCACGCTCTGCTCTTGGATCAGCCGTCAATCAGAACGCCGTGGGAGGAGCTGCGGTGTCTTTTTACCCCGCTCAGTAGACGTCGCACAAATTGTTACCCCCCTCCAACCCAAAGAAAGAAAGAAAGAAATGTCTCCTGACTCCATGTCTGGACTCTGGTTTCTCACCGGGGGAAGACATGTTGCCTTCGCTTGTCTTCGGGTTGCGTCGAAACGGCCGTTTGAAAACTCAGGATGTAAAAGACAGACATGAAAAGACTTCAGGTGGTTCGGCTCGTTTTCACCATTTTTCAAACCCGCATCATAAATTCTAAATATTTGCAGCCAATTAGCTCAGCATTGTTACTACAACAGATACTGGAAGGGGTAAGAAAAAAAAAAGAGTCAGTTTCTGCTGCGTTCTCAAGTCGACGCTGCCTTTGTGTGCAGTACTCGTCTGGTTCTCTAGTTTTTTGGGCTGTCATCCTGATGGAAAGTGTCGTCTTTAACTAATTTTCTTCAGTATTGTTATGCTTTTAGCTCCATCCATCTTCCTATCAACTGTGACCAGCTTCCCAAGTACGAGACAAAAGAATTCCCCAAAGCATGATGCTGCGACCGCCATGTTTGACTGAGAGGACGGCATGTAGCTCCAGCTGATGCATTGTGTCAGTTTTTCGCAGAACATTGTGTCCTCCGCGTTGGCCAAAGAAATTAATCTTTTGTCTCGTCTCCACCACGTTCTCCATGCGTCATGATGATGTTCCCTAATGTTCTCTTAACAAAGCTCGCAGGATTTATTTGAACCTCAAATTACTGATTAATGCAATTGACTGCACATGTTTTATTTTTGATTTTGGTTTTTTTCAGAGGTATCCATAGAAAGAGGGTGAGAACTAATGTGCATATTAGTTCTCACCCTAAATTAAATTAAATCCTGCATCGTTTTAGTCAACCATCACTTTTGCGGTTGACAAAAAAAATCCTAATAAAATACATAGAAGATTGTGTCTGTAACGTCACAGAACGTGGGAAAATAAAAAGGAATATTATTTGAGTTGTATTGATCGTCTTTTTTTCACTTCCGATACCGATACCAATATCTGAGGTTCAGTATCGCCCGATACCGATACAGAAAACATCACTGAATGACTTAAAATGTTTGTTTGTTTTTTTTAAACAGACACAAATGTACTGAATTACAAATTTATTTCATAATTCTGCACCAGTGCAGCACATTTAGATATACCAGCAGCTTCACAAGCTGACATCTAAAAAAAACACAACTTTCATTTGTTCAGTCAGTGAAATTAAGAGTACAACATCCAATGTAAAATAAATGATAAAGAAACTAGAAAAAGAAAAGTTAACTACTTTGGTCAAACGTAAAAAAAATAAGCTGCAAATGTTTCAGAAAGTGGAATTAGGAATTATAAATATAATGTAAAATAATTAATAAAGCATAACATCGCTCTGATCTAGAGATTTTTTAATATTAGTTGTGTACTGTTCATTAGGATCAATTTTAATATATGAAGTTATGTTTTTTTGCAAAGTGCCTCGAGACGTCAGTTGTTGTGAATCGGCACCATGTAGCTCAAGTGTTTAGACATCTGTCTCCTAGCAACATTCGGTTTTTCTCCAGGAGAAAAAGCCATTTTCAAAGACAAAAAAGCAGGTCAAAACTAGAAAGCAGTTTATTAAATGAGGTGACACGAATTAAATGCAGATGACCCGGCCTCTTAACTCGAAACAAATGACTCAGGGAGCAGCCAGGGGACAAAAGGCTGACAGTTGTTCAAACTAAATTAAGTTAAGAAGAGATGTTTTCATTTTCGGCAGAGATAATCCCCTTCAGTCGCCTCCGAGGAGCACCGGCGGGGGAGGAGGGGCTGAATCGACAACCGCGCGTGTTCATATCACAGGCCGGCGTCAAAAGCAGCTTAATGACGACCTTAAAAGATCGGAGACCGGATGAATAAATCACAGCGCGCAGATGAACCGGTTTGAGTTCAGCGGAGACAGGCAAAGGCTCAGAGCGGGGGGCCGGTCGCGAAAGGAAAGAACAGAGCATGCCCCGCATTTCACAACTGCAGAGGAACAGAAAGAGAGTTGCGTCGCTTTCTGGCCAATTACATGATTTTCGGGGCGGCGGGGAGGGGAGGTGGGCCACGACGGGCAGATGTTCAAAGCGGACTTTCAGAAATATTTACTGTGCAGTTTTAAACAGTCTCACACAACAGCCCAGATATGTTACAATGCAACGCATCATTAACCATAAAGAACAAAAGAAAGCAACAAAAGGAAAAATGAAAAAAATACAGAAAGATCTGCCTGCTCCAGAGTTTTATTAGATTTTCCCATGCAGCAGAGAGGCAGGAAGTACGCGATAGAGAGAGCGACAGACAGCCAAGAGGGCGAGCGGTGCGTTCAGGGACTACGTCTTCTTCTTGTAAATAAATATTAAACATCAAAAATCTCCTGCCTGTTTAGGCTGTGTTGTTTTTATTTGGTGCACCATTGTCACTGTAAGAAGTAATTTTAATTTTTCTAGTTGCAGATAAACATTTATGACATTTTTACCTCTGGCCATTTTATACACACTTAATCCACTTCGGCGTTGCACAAAACTTTTTTTTTTTCCCCTTACGGTTTATTGTACGACTGGATTATAACAAGATGTTTTGTACAGTTTATTTTTTGAAATGAAGGCTTAATTTCTGGTTCCCCACTAAATTTTATTACCATATAAAGTATCCAAAGTATCGGCAACACTGCCAAGCAGATTATTATTCATTTTTATTTAGACAAAAACAAAACTTTTTAAAATCTTTGTGAAATTTTAGAAACCGTGCCTGACTTTATGTCCAGTACCATGTTCAGATGACAAACAGTGACTCAGCACTTCTCCAGAAACTTTGGTGACTCTCACATTAAAGGCTCTTTTTTTTAACTATTTCATTGTTTTCATCAACGCCTGCTTTAAACATGAGATCCTTCATCTTAAACTACCACTTCATCTTAAACTACCCCGCCAGAGCTCATTAGCATTCACACAGAGCCTGCTGTGAATGCTAAGGCTAGTTAGCATAGCCACTTTGCCTTTAAGACATGGAGCACTGTATACATGAGCATGATTGACAGCTTTAAGACCCTCGTCCCTCGTCTGATTGGCTGTCATGACATATTGAAATTTTTAACAAATCACATTTTTGTGCTTTAACGCAGACAGTCTTTATTT